CTACTCTCCTCCTCCTCCTCTCTCTCTCTCTCTCTCTGTCTGGCTCTCTTGTCACATTCGTTTCCCCGTGAGGACATGCTTTCCAGCCACGTCCCCATCTTCTGGCGCCCTCACTGAAAACAGGAAAACTCGCACTGATGGAATCCCAATGGGAGTTGTACTCAATACAGGAGCACTGGGGAGAGATTGACGGCGTGCACATGTTCCTATACACGTCCCTCGTGTATCTTCGCAACAAGACCGAGTTCTGGACTGCCCGTGTCCCCGGCCGGTACCCGTCCCGCGAGGCGCTTCCCGCCGGCGCCGCCCCTTCCTGCGGCACCTTGCAGCACGTCGACCGGACGCACCTCTTTCCGCCGCTCGACCCCGGCACCCACCGCTGCGACGACGACGTCGACGAGCCCGAAAAGGCCGGCATCTTCGTCAAGCGCGTCCGCGTCGACGCCTACGACGGCTCCCCGACGCTCGCCCGCTACGTCGCCCACGAGGCGCGTATCTGCCAGCGCCTGCGCAGCTACCCGCACCCCAACATCGCCCGCTTCCGGGGCTGCCACGTCCGGGGGGAAACGGGCGGCACCGGCACCGGCACCGGCATCGGCACCGGCGGGGAGATTTTGGGACTCTGCTTTGACAGGTACGCCGAGACGCTGGCGGAGCGCATGCGTCGCGGCGCCGCCGTCGACACGGAGCGCTGCATGGAGCAGATTCGGGCGGCGCTTAGGCACCTGCACGGCTTGCAGCTGGTGCACAATGACGTCGTGCCGGATAATGTCATGTTTGTCGATGACGGGCCGGGCTTGGTTTTGATTGACTTTGACTCGTGCGCGACGCGAGGGGGCGGGCTGCCGAGGAAACGAGGGCCGGTCAGGCCGGGGGCGACACGGTCAGAGTTTGAGAATGACGACTTGGGACTGCGGTTGATTCACAGAGCGCTGTTGCGATATGAGCATGATACGAGGTCCTGAACCGGAGAGATACTTGGGGTTTCTTCTTTTATTGCATTGTCCCTGAATCATAAGAATGGGATGGGGCAAGCGAACATTTTGCTAAGCTTTTCCCATGTAATAACTAGCTACATGTTATTCGACTTTAGCCTGCAGTGATGCCATATACTTCCCATTGGAATACGTAAATGTAGCGAGAGCACAGGCTGACGCATTGATTACACGGACATCTTCCCCGCATCTAGAAGCTCGCCCATTGTGAATCGTGTGATGCAACGAAACGATACCAAGAAAACATGTTTGAAGATATGTTTTTAAAAAAAATATTCGAGAAAATGTGTTTGAGAAAACATGTCAACATGCCAAGGTCAGAATCGTGAATTTAAACAAACTTGTGTGTAAGTCTATTTGATCCAAAGTTTCTATTGCTCTATGACGCTACTGTTCCATACAACGTCCCTCCATTATGATGATGACCATCATTATTAGGATGCGACGACGACGAGCTCTTTCGATTCTCAACACTCTGCCACTTCACATACCCCGTAAAGAGCGCCGCCAACACGGTGCCCACCACCCCCAAGCCGATATTCAGCGGCAGCGGGTTCCCTTGCAGCTGCACGCTCAGCCAGCTTTCCACCGCAGGCTGCACAAGGTTAAAGACGCCAGACGCGCAAATGACGGTGCCGTATACCCGGCCAAAAGTGGCAAATCCGAAAATCTTGGAAGCGGTATATCTAAAAAGAAAAAAACGAGGCAAAAAAAAACCGAATTAGCAAAGAACGGAATGTAAAGTTTTGGGGGGGATCTGTAAAGGCCCTACGAGACAGCAGAGTAGTAAAAAGGTCGAAAGGTCACAAAGACGACTACGGTCGCGACGCCAGCCGGCACAGACGACAAGCAGTTCAGCACGCCCATGACGGCCACGTACCCCGTCATGACGGTCAGCACGGTAGCGACGCTGCAGCTGTTGAGCAGCAGCGCAATGAGCGGCGTCGCCGCCACGCCGCCAATCGGCAGCGCCGCGTTGAACAGGTCCGTAATAATGGCCGTCTCGCCTGCCGACCCGAGCATGTACCGGTACTGGGAGCCAATCGTCGCGATGAACAGGTTCATGCGCAGCATCTGAAACGCCGTGACGCATAGCAGCAGCGCAAAGACGGGCGTCCGCATCTGCGCCGCGACCGGCCGCCCGTGCAAGAGGCCCCAGACGCCGTCGCTCTGCTGCAGCGCCGCCTGCTGCAGCCTGCGGTCGACGCGCTCGCCGATGCCGCCCGTGATGTCCTCGATGCGCTGCAGCTTGTCGCGCCTGTGCTCGGCGCGGTGGCTGCGCACGCGCAGCAGCGACTGCGTATCCGAGACGTCGTCGTCGGAGGCGTGCACGTCGGTGGCGTCGCTGCGCGCCTTGGCCATTTTGCGCTCCAGCTCGGGTAGAGTGTGGTAGCGCTGCCGCGGCATGACGGTCCACTCGGCGGCGATGATGGCCGGGGGCACGGCGCAGAGGTAGGCTAGGAAAAAGTGAGCGATGCGGATGCGCTGGTGCGACGCCTCCCAGGCGAGGCGGTAGAGGAAGAAGACGGCAGAGGACGCGTCAAAGGCGCAGGTGATGAGGGCCACGACGAGCCCCGCGTGCTTTGGAAATGCATTGGATAACTGGAAGCTAGGGAGAAAGAGAAACGTCCCGCCCAGGCTCAGGAAGAAGTTGCCTAGCAAGTACCCGTCCAGCTTCTTATACAACATGTTGCCGTGCGAGGCCATCATCAGCGCCCCAACCGCCAGAAAGCCCGCCGCCACCGTCGCGCACCACCGCCGACCAAAGCGATCTAGTGTATACCCCGCAAACAAACTCGACGTGTTGGTCGTCACCGATGCCACGATGAAGAGCAGATTCAACCGTATCTCCTGCTCCGCGCACGGCTGTCCACGGCTGCCTCCGCCGTCGCTTTTGCCTCCCTCTGTCCCCGTTCCTGCACCGTTGCTGCAAAACTCGCTGTAGACGCCTTCGTATACAAGAATTGGCTTGATCGAGGCAAACCCAAATACGATGCCCGAAGCGAGAAAGCAAAAGCTCACGGCGAGCGCGACCTGAACTGTTGGTTTGCGGATGCATCATTAGCCGGACCCAGAGAGTCTTCACCGCGCGCACAAAAGGGAAGGGGGGGGGGGGGGGATTACCAACTCACCGATTCTTCGCAGGGTCGACGCTTTATAGGCAGCCTCTGGGTTCGGTGTATCCGCTGCGATATCTAAATGCGGTCGCACTGGCGCAAAAGCATCAAAGCTCATGCGCCGCCACGAGCCTTGCGCATGGTTGGGGTTCTCGTCTGGCAGGTCGCACTCGAATTCGTCCTCGACGGTCAAGTGCTGCGCCAGAGACATTGTTGCTTTTGGGGGCCGCGAGGTAGACTTGTCGGCTGGTTAATGATGATGAGGAACAACTAGGAAAGAACCAAGAGATAGGTCGGCCAAAAAATCTGTTTTGCTCAATGTTTCCATAATAAGCTTTGCATGGCTTATCGAGATGGCGGATGTTTATGTCAGCGATGCGTCAATGATAACTAGCGGCAGGAGGCATCTTGACAAGGGAAAACCCATTTTGGTGTGCCCCAGATTTTTCATCAATGGGGGCTTGCTGCTTGTTGCTTTGCTAACTATATCCATTGCGTCAGTTTTACGATGATGTATGATGATGGGTTGCCGTTGGCCCAAAACCATCAGGCTTCAGAAATGCGCCACCTATTACTTAGTCCTCTTGACGGGGCTCAAAAAGCAATACTGAAACTTTTTCTCTACCGCCACTTCCCCATTTCTTCATCCTTTTTTTTTTTTATTTACATTTCTTTCAAAACATGGCAGCTGATAAGAAAGTTATGCTGGCTCTCGCCGGCGCCGGCGCCATCGGCGCCGCCATTTACGCTACACGCAGCACCACACGTCCCGCCACCGTCCAATCGCCGTCGACAACGCTGCCCGACAATAAAGCCCGCGACATGAGAGACATGGGCCTTTCGGGGGCAGGCATCGGAGGCACGGCCGTCGCCGGCGGCAACGAGAGGTCCATCGACCCCAGCCAGGAACGCAAAGTCCAGACGACGGCCTCTTCGCGCGACAAGCTCCCCTCGGGCGGCGTGGGAGGTGGCGTCGGCGCCGGCGGCATGAATGCTCGCACCGTCGAGCTGCCTATGCCGAAATCATCATCTAGTTCAATCGGCGGAAAGCCGAGCTCAGAAGTGAGCTGAAATCTGAAACCAATAATGGGGGGGTTTTCTGAGGCGAAAACCAGAGCGTGATGCTGACCAGACGTCCGACTAGCCAAAGTCGAGGTCCGATCTGCCAGTCAACAGCAACAATCCGCATCTCAGTGAAGCAGAAACCGGAGGGAAGCAGCAGATATATGCCAAAATCTTCAAATAATGTTTGTTACTGCAATGCAATGCAAAGAAAGAATCAAAATGCTCTGACTTGTTATATGTTACATGGTCAAGGTGATATGCTCGTTGTTAAAGTGATTGAAATGGCATCTGCGGCTCGCATCTCTAAACTTACCGCTCTACATAGTTACGCCAGCTTCTTCTGTGTCAGATCCGCCAGCTCATCCAGCAACTCAACCGTCTCCGACGGGCTCGCGATCCACGCCGTCGTACCCACACTGCGCGCCTTGAAGTCGTTGCTGCCCGCGCTGAGGAATTGATCGCCGACGTGCAGCGTGTTTTCGCCCTTGATCGCCGTGCTAGCCGCCGCTGACGCGCCCGTGGACGCCGTGTCGCCGCGGCGCCCAAACCACTGCTGGCAGACGGCCACACCCCACGACTTGTCGCCAATGTCGACAAAGACGTCGCGGCCGCCGTTGAAGGCACAAAACGGCACGCCCCGCTTGTGGTCGGGCGCCGCGCCCCCAATCTTGCTCGCAGCGGCGGCAGCCTGCTCCCGGAGGCCCAGGCTGCCGAGCTCCAGGATACGCTGCACGACCAGCACCGTCTCTTCCAGGCTCTCGCGCGCAATCTGCACGTGCGGCGGGTCCGGAATGATGCCGACGGCGCGGTCCTTGCGGATGAGCCGGGCAGGCAGATTCATGGAACGAATGCAGTCGCGCAAGGCCGTCTCGGCGACGTCAAGAAGCGCCGCAATGTCGGACTCGGACCACGAGGCCATCTCGGGCGTCAGCCACTGCGAGCGCGGCACGGGCGCGAGGCGGTGGGGCGAGGACTGCGAGTACTCGAAAAGGTAGTTGGCTTCGCCGCCCATGATGACGAGGTTCTGCTTCTGCACGGGGTCGAGCTCCGTGGACGCGGCAATGCTCTCTAGCAGGCCATGCAGACGCCCGTAGTAGCCGTCTGCGGTTGTGTAGCCGGCAGCGGTGACGATGCCGATTTTGATGTTGTTTTTCAAGAGGTCTATTAGTGTATTAGCGTCGGCATCTCAATACGCGCCGTGTTCAAGGAAAAAAAAAAAAAAAACGTACGCATGAGACGAGGCACAACCGGGCTGCTAGGCTCCAGATTTTGACCATCCTCATATAGCGTGACATCACCATCAAATGTGGCAAGCTGCAGGGTGCCATTGGTCACGGCCATGATTTGGGCAGAGTTGAGGACGAGACGGACATCGTTGAACGAGGGCGCCACGTATCGGCGACACGAAATGTAGCGTTTGCGATCCTGGTACTTGAAGGCTGCCTCCAGCGGAAGCCTTGTGAAAAAAGGCCCGGCCGTCGGGACCAGCATCCCCAGCTTGGACGGGATAGGAGAGTCTTGATTTTGACGGGCAACTTTTGAAGCATTAGCGCTGGTCTGAATAGTGATGAGAGCCTGCCTTGCTTACTGTGGTCGTCAATCATTACTTCCACATCGTGCATGATTTCGGCATAGCGACGATGCGCCTCCTCTGACATTTTGGCGACGCTGGTGCCATCTCCGACAACACCCGTGGGCTGCGAGTAGAGGACAAATGGCACGGCGAGGAGACCCTTGACCCATTCGATGAATTGGTCTCGTCGGTGCGTTTTAAGCGCATCTGAGGAGCGGTCAGTGAGCTGAACAGTGCAATATTTTGTCGGACATGGGACAGAACGCAAGCCACATGAAAAGAATCATGATCATAGTTTGCAAATACAGTACGTACATTCCACGCGGTATCGGGTTGTCATGGTTCCTGCGTCTCACCGACCGTGTATTGCTGGGATGAGATTGGGCTAGGCGGGGTCGAGCGTTTGCAGATGGCAAAGGATGTATGCGCGTTCTGATTTCCGCTCTCAACAACGCTAGGGCGCTGAGGTCGGACCTGCTTCAAAGAGACGCAAGAGCAATATCGAGAGTATAGAAGAGAGACGAAAAAGACCAATGTGTCTTGTTTTGCTGAAAGAGTTGACTCAATTGCAGTTCATCGGCCCGCCAAGGTCATCACGTGCCCCACTCGAATGGTACACAGACGGAGAGCGCCGCCAGCTGGAGGCATGTCCCTTGTTCGTGATGATATCAGTAATACGCGTACTACCTTTGTCCGTGCTTTGATATGCGCATTTATCAAAGATGAAAGATGGGAAACATATCGAGGGGGAAAAAGCGCCCGATTTTCGATGCGGAGGTCCGACAAATCTGCCAAATGCGGCGATGAACCGATGCGACTACGCCAGGTCCGATTCTGGAGTCCTTGGTGTGTCAACGGCCGACTCCGAGGGTACTGCAGAAGCTGCATATGGCCAATCAAACAGTGCATATGACGCAAACCGGATTGAAAATGGCAATTCAGAGGCTAGAAGTATTGCTTTTAAGAATTTTTGTCTTTTATTCACTAGCAACAGCTGGTCGCCTGATGTAGGGTTTTTGAGGCTGCGACGGTCGCCCTGTCCTCGCTCCCGCAATCTAGAATCAGTTCGGAACTGTATTTCAACCATTGATAATATGTTTGAGAGTGTCGAAAAAAAGTGTAGGACTCGCTTCAAGCACAATACGTCGCTCAAGCCGAGCCTGGGTATGAAGGCTCAATTCACCGGTATCCTTGTCGGGTCAGGTCTAAATGAATAGGACAGGCATCCATCCATTCGACAGACACGACATCCAGCCGGTCAAATGTTGATTTCTTCTTCTTCTTCTTCAAAAAAAAAAAAAAAAAAAAAAAAAAAAAAAAAACCTAGCAAATACAAGCTGAATTAAACACAGCATTCAAGCCATCTTGTGACCATGTTTCGTCCCGTAGCCATGGCCATCTGTGGAGATTTATTCGTATTCTTCCCCGGATTCTCTGCGCTCCACCCCCAAACACCGTCCGACTTGCCATAGCACCGTCTACTCGGCATAGGTAGACACGAAGTTATCCAAGCCATTTCGGCCACATTTTCACTAAAAAGTTTGTGGAGCTGATCTGATCGGGCAGCCGTTTCTAGTGGCGCTTTATCCTCCCCGGTGTAGCTCTCGCAGTGGTGCGGACTAGCACTTTATGTGTTTCACGTGGAACGCGTGCTCTCACACCCGCTGGCACGCTGGATACACAAATAAATGCGAAAAGTGAATCACGAAATAAATATATATATATGTATATATATAAGTTGATGAATAGAGAATCTACTCAAATCAAAATCAATCAAGTCTATTCCTATCCGAAAGCGTTTGGCCAGCACCAACGGCCACATCTAGACAACGCAGAGCTAAGCTCCGGTCGTCGACCGCCCACAACGGCTTTTACACCGACCTCGCGCCCAATTCCTCTCTCATATCCACAACACCACACAGCAGCATCATTCTCTATCCCGACGATTTTCCTCTGCCACTGCGACAAAAAAAAAAAAAAAGAAAAGAAAAGTCCGCTCCTTTTGACATCCCTCCTCCCCCGTTGCCTCGGGACAAAGGCAGCAATGGCAAAACCCAAGTCCAAAACCAAGGCCGCGGCGCAGACCACGACTTCGGCCGCCGCTGCTGCCCCGACCGCCACACTCGCCGCGCGGCGCTCGCGGTCTCTTCTCGCGCAAAGCTGTCGTTTTCTCGGCACCACCGCCGGCCTAGACCTGACTCTGCGTTTCTTCCACGGACTCGTCATAATTTCCGCCAAGGCCGCTGACGAGGCGGTGGCGACGCGAAGCTTCATGGCGGCTTCACAGCTCAACCTCGGTGTGCCGCCAATCTCTGCCCCTCTCTTTCATGAACCACACACACATCTTTATACTAATGAAAGTAAATCATTTTATAGCAAGGAGATATTTGAGATTCTTTGTACTACTAGACTGCATTCAAAACGTCCTCGACACCATCAGCAAGGAATACGCCTCACTCGCGTATAAAACTTTCGATCTAGTGGAATGGAGCTGCCTGCTCTTGTACTTTGCCCTCGAAAACCTGACAATGGTGCGAACACTCTTCTATTCCTCTCCCAACCCCCCTTTTCCACCCTATTTCTTTCCAACCCATGCAGTCCTGACCTTGTTCAACATCCTCCGCAGCTCCACGACATGCAGATTCACGTCGTGCCCTGGTACGCACCCGTCCTCGTCGAAGCCAACAAATTCTGGTTCTACGCCATTACCGCCTCCATCCTCCGCACCATCGCCCAGCGCATCGGTCTCTTCCACAGCACCCGTACTCCTTTCTCGAAGCGGAGACAGCAACTTCCCCCGCCGCCGCCGCCGTGGAGACGCCTGGTCGTGGACGCGCTGGACCTAACCCTGCCTGCGTCGTTTGTCGGCTGGGTCGTGATGGATGACGTGACGATTGGCTGCCTGATGACGCTGAGCACGATTCTGGCGTGGAGGGATGTCTGGGGAAAAGCGCAGCAGTAGGAGCAGTTTCCTCGTACTGACATGATGGCGTGATGTCGCCTTGAGCATTCGACAACGAGCAACGACTAGACCTAGACAGCATTGGTAGCAGCAGACAGCATTGGTAGTATGACACAATACGCCTTTAACAATAAAATCATTAGTCTTTCATCGCTTTTTCACATTCTCTAGACAGTGTGTGCTACCCGCACTGGCCGACACGCGTATCGCGGCTCGAAATGTATCTTGGACATGCCGACAGTGCAAAAAGTGTAAACCGCCCTGTCGCTACCTACTATATATAAAGGGATTCATTCCCGCATGGCTAAACCTTGCTCCGAAACATTCATAATCCTCGCTGGTCTCAGGTATCTTCATGACATCCATCGCTTACTCTTGTCCTCATCGCCGGAACCCGCATGGCGTGACAAGTTGTCACGCGACGTTTGGCCTCCAGACTACTCACTGTATAGGGATGCATCCTAGCCCACAGTGGCGCCAGGTTGCTGTGCCTGATGTGCGGCAATTCCCTCGGCCTTGGCAATGATGCTCTGCAGCACATTTTGCTCATCAGGTGAAAGGGCACCAGCCAAGCTACTATAAAACTGAGGCTGCTCTTGTTGCATTTCTGAAGGCGTTAGCATGCGCAGAGAAAGGCTTGTCGGCTCACTTACTAAGAAGAGTTCCACTGAAGAGCTGGTAAGGCTCAACCTTGTCAAGTGGCGACTCGAGAAGGACGCTATCTTCTCTGAGGCCATCCTCATCCTCGTCGTCGTCGATGGCGCGACTGAACTTCTGGGCCTAAAACTGTTAGCTGATTCGATCCAATTGCTACTTCATTTAGTTCTCACCTCGCCGTGCAGAAATTCGAGATAGGCATTGCTCTCCTCCTTGGCTTCAGTGACCTCTTCCTCGACAGCAGGCTCCTCTTCTTCTCCCTCCCACTTGGACTCATCCTCGTCCCACTCGTCGTCGTCGTCTTCATAGGTATAGTTGCTGGAGAAATAGGGATCATCACGAAGGGCGTCCTCGCGGTCTACATCAACTTAGTATAGCAATAAATGAGCGCATAGTTGGGACTTACTCTTGAGGGCGGCAGGCAGGGTGCGGAAAAGCTCAGTTATGCCTTGGAGTAGACGAGGCCAGCCAACAGAGACGCTCTGAGGAACCTGCTCATGGTTGAGATTGAGAAGAGCCGAGATGGCGACAATGCACAGCTTCTTGTCGTGGACACGGCTGAACGAAGACATGCTGCCGAACCAGAGGCTGAAGAAGCGATTCGTCCATCCTTTGGCCTCGAGAATTTGAAGACTCAGCAGCGGGTTATAGTGGATAGAGTTGATGACCATCTCAACAAGGTAAATCTTGTAGGTCCTAGGTTTAACGTCGGGCTGAGCGGACAGGACATTCATAGCCATGGAGATGAAGCCCTCCATGTACTGGTCAATGCTTCCACGAAGACTAAGCATGAGAGCCTCTGCCAGTTTGCAGGCGCATATTCTCTCGACACCACCCTGGCGAGGATCGGAGAACATGTCCGAAACCATCTCGTAGAGAGCTCGGACGTATTCGGGTTTCGTCGCCAGTTGAGGAGCACCATATTGAACAAAGTTGTCAAGAGCAGGCAGCATATCCTCAAGATAGAATTCAGCGCCAGACTTGAACGTTGTGTGAATAAGCTCAAAAGCCTGCCACATGTTTGGGGAGATGGCCTTGGCGGTAAACGTGCAGCTGTCGATGATCTCGAATGCCTCGTTGTACAAGTCTGTTAGGTTAGCCGGGCTCTGTAGAATCATGCAGAATAAAGAGAGACCTACCGTAGAGTTTATTCTCGAGGGTAACCTTGATGACAGGCATAAGGACAGCCTCAATGTGGAGGAGCACATCAGGAGTGCTCTCAAGAGTCAGGACCAGGGTTCCGATGGTCTGCAGGACACCAAGGGCAGTGATGCTCTTGTCATCGTACGCAATGTATAATTCATCATCGTCGCCAGCCTTACTCTCCTTCTCGAGCAGCTCGCGAACAATTCGTAAATATGTGTCTCTGAGCTGTTCACACAGGGCTACGGCAAAGGGAGTGAGTTCGGTGGCAAAGACCTCGACAAAGTCCTCCATAACATTAGCGAGAGCATCGATATCGGCCTCATTTGCAAGCTTCAGCAGCTGTTGCATGATGGTGGGAATGCTCTGCTTCATGTGCTGGCGAATAACGTCATGGCGGATAAGAGGCTGCAGGGCAAGAGCAGCGGTAATGCGGACAGGGAGAGCTTCATCAGCCATGCCATCGAGGATGTGGCGGTAAATAGTGAGCAGGTTGTTCTGGTCCTGGAAGTCAAGCTGCTCAAACTTTTCAATGGTGTCGCAAGCACGGGCACGCAGGTACCCCTGAGGACTCTTGAAGTCGGGGAAGACGTATCGAACGAGAAAGTATTCAATTTGGTCGGCGATGGGGCTCTTTTTGCCCAGGATGACGGGCGCGAGAGTACCAATCATGCGCAGAGCACCCTCCTTGGCGACGTGGTTCTTGGCTTCCGGGGCAGCCTCTTCGTACTCGTTGACGACGGCATTGACGAACTTGAGGATCTCGAATGTCTCTTTACGGCGCTGCTTGGTGAGGTTCACGAGGAAGTTAGTAGCGGCCACGTCGGGGGCAGAGGCCTCCTCGAAATAGGTGAGTTTGCGGTGGAGGTACTCTTCGGGCTCATCCTCGAACTTTTCCAGATCATCCTCGGTCAGGCAGAGGACAGGGAAGACGAAATGGGTGACGAGGTTGGTCAGATGCGGCTTTAGGTGCGGCCACATCTCCTTGGGGGTAACAGCCTCGTCGAGGAAGATGAGGGTGTAGGAGAGACAGGGCCGACTGAGCCAGGAGGTCTTGGCCACCCATTTTTCAATCTCGTGGAGGTAATGCTTGAGAATTTCGGGAGCAATATTGGCGATGAAGTTCTTGGCAAAAGCGAGGGCTTCGGGTTCCTTGCCGGGGACGGTGGGGTTGCCGTGTCTAGAAGAGGTTAGCAAAGGGTGTTGAGAGGAGTAGCAATGATGGTATACCTGATGAAGAGGCGGTTGAGGTTGAAGTAGGCCCATTTCTTGGCCTTCCACCAGTGATGCAGTTCGCGTTCGGTCGGGTCGTCTTGCATAGCGCTGGCAGGGGCAGCCTTGGCAACGGTCTGAAGGAAGACGGTGCACCAGGCAATATTGGTTTCGGGGACGCGAAGCGCGGGGGAGAGTTCGAGCTATGAAAGTCAGGCAAGGGGTCGAGTGTGGCCATTTTGAAGAAATGCATACCCATGTCGCGTGCTTGTAGGTCTTCAGAGCCAGGTGAAGCATTTCACCAGCCTGGTCGCTCTCTTGGTTGACTAGCTCGTTACAAATGGCCAGCAGGCGGGGGAAGCTGGCCTCGACGATACTGTCAAAGTGTTGCCTATCATCGCTGTTGCTGGCTTTGAAGCGGAACGCACGGCAAATGGCAAGCAGGCATTGCAGGCCGGCGAGGACGGAGGAAGGGCTGTTGGTGTTGAGCAACTCCGAGGTGAAGCCCATAAAATTGGGCCATCGACTAGGGAAATCGGCCTGAAGAACGCGCTGGATGACTGGGATGAGCTGCTGGCGGACGAGAGGGTCAGAGGTGGCGAGCAGAGGGACAAGGCGGTCTCGAATGCGATTCTTTTCCTCATCGGGTATCAATTTACCCGTGGCGACGGGGTCGGTGGTGTACCATGATCGATTGACGCGGTTCTTGAGGTAGATGATTGCTAAAAACATGTTAGAGAACATGCGAAGAAGCGAATCAAGGGCGCATATGGCGAAACATACTGGCCAGGCGAACACTGGCGTCTTGTTCAGCCTCGAGAATGTCGAGCAGGCAGACGAGGAAGCCAACCTCTTCTTCGACCTAGAGACGGGGCAATCAGTACGAGATCCTTTGGGATATCGACACGCGATAGCCTTGACACAATGATCACAGGCCGAGTGGAATCGGCCGCGCTGGTCCGGGGCTCGGTGCATTGTTGTGGTGGGCGGCGTGCAAGGGGTCGCATCGTCGTGGGGGGCAAAAATGTCGGCCAAAATCAAGAAGAGAAGACGGTCAAGGGGTCGGTTCAAGATCAAGATGGCCTACCTGCTTGAGTTGAAGCTCAGCACGACGTCTGTTGTCCGCATCGGGAAGCAGACTCGTAGCGAGCAAGCCCCTAATGGCGGCAGTGTCCATGGCGAGGTATCTTGGAAGCGGATGTGGTGATTTGTATGTTTGAAGATGCTGCTTTGTGTTGCGTCCTTGGGTAGAGGGGTGGGCAAGGAAGTGGGCTCTGGGCGAGTTTTGGCGTGCAGAAAAAAAAATAAGGGTAAGCTTTAATGACGGCGGGGCATCGACGCGAGCACCAATACTGGCGACTAACAAAGGGGGGGAAAAAAGAGGAAAAAGTCTGTACAAAAAGTCAAATGTATGAGGTTGAAGAGGTCAGCTGGCTGGAGCCACGAGGCTTTAAAGAGGAAAAAAGAAAGATATCTGAGTGAGTATCCAAATCTATGGCTGCTTGTTGACTACGCCTGCCACACAAATGGAGGGGCTGCCTTTACAGGGGTGGTGGGTAGGAGAGGTCCCCTAAGAGAAATCCATCGGACACACTAAGAGCACACTAGAAATTAGGTGCAAGGTAGAACAAGGCTCGCAGAGACAGGTTACTGCCCAGAAGAATAGGGGAAAATGTATGCATAAATGAACATGTTTCCATGATTACCATGCAAACCCGCGCATCTCGTTGGGCTCCTACACAGAGCCTCTCGCATCAAACTTTCGGTGTTCATCTGCCCCAGCGTGCCCAGTTGCCCAGTTGCCCAAGCCCAGCCACAGCAGCGAACAGTTGCGGCTACAGGCGGTGCAGGTAAGTTTCCTCGAAGGCAGCACCAAGCCGTCCCATCCATACAACAGATGATGCAGCACGTTATCCCAGGAGAAAGATGATTGGCTGCATCAAGACTACAGATCAGTCGTTAATCACAGCTTTCAAGCATAAATCCTCTTTGGCAGCCAAGGGTCTTAGACGTTGGCAGCGTTGGTGTCCCACGTGCGTTACGTGGGTTGCCGCCACACTCCAGCCACAGGTACTTTTACTGTAACTCCGTCATATAAAAGATACTTGCACGAGTAGGGCAGGGCAGCAACCGCGCGCCAGGCTCTACAACGTGGTCTGGACCCAGCAGCACCAACCCTTCTGTATAACACGATCCCATTATTGCACGGAAATAACCCTTTCGTCAATACCCATCCATTTACAGATCAGCCATCAAGCAAGGCAGGTCACCTGCAGTCTTCGGTCAACGGATATTTTGTTTCTATCTCCCTTGGTGTTATTTCATCGCGTTGACTTTTCCGTCATTCTGCGTTTAGATGGGGACACATCGATGGCGCGGCCGGTCCAAAGCCCGCGCTGCCAGGCTTGCACCAGCCCTTCAACCAGAATACATGGCCGTCCAACGTCGGTTGCTCATCCGCTTCACTTCATCACATGTCCTGTAAATGATTGAGAGTAATAAAGCCGTTCGCCCGCTACTAGCGCAAGCCGCCATGGCATTGCAACTCACCAACGACGGCTTCATCATCCGCTGCACCGTGATGCTGTTGTGAAGACTTGACTAGTTCTAGTTCTCCTTGGGACTTCTCAAGCGGACCGGTACTGTAATGTTCCCATTCGTAAACGTCTACATGAAGCTCGGCCCCTTCAACACGCTCATCGAAGCGCCCGCCGTGCGTTTTGTGGCCGAGCATGCCTCGATTCCGTTCTCAAAGCCGATACGCGTTTGAGGACAAGCGTCGTACACGACGCTGCCAAAGGACGCTTTGTCGGCATCATTCAGGCCAGCAGATGCAGCCATCGCACAGTCGAGTCACAAAATCGCATCATCAAGAGCCATCTAGACACGATCCACCTGCAGCCATCCTATCAAGGAACCGCGATATCGGAATTCGGCCCTCTTCTCGCCCTTCACAAGAGGAAAAGTACCTCTGTTGTCTTTAGCCAAGGCATACTATCGCCCCCTAGTCATTTTGACAGATCGGTGTTTGGAGCCGTTTCCGCAGGCACCGACAGTTAAAGCGATCAGACCCAAGTATCTCTGCGACTGTTGACAGACAGTCGGCGGCCAGCCATTGGACGGTCAGCCATCGGGTAAGTGTCTCCTAACATACCGGACAACAAACCGCATTGCCTATCCAAGGGTCCGTACATTGAACTGCTGTTTTTTACGGAAAAGAGGATCCCCGACTAACCATTGGTCATCACCGACGGTATTCAACTGCCGCTCGTACCACAAACAAAGCGCCTGTCCTGGCTGCTGAAGATGATACTGTTGTAATGTATCTTGCTAGTTTGATCCGTTGTAACTGCCGGAATGCCATCTTGACCCGATGCCTGTGTTGCGCAGTCAGCCGGCCTGGCTCGGCGCGCTGGCAACCGGCTCACTAGACATGAACCTCATACTCTTGCTAGCTCAACAGGCATCGGTCGTCGCGAATCTGCACACATGCGCCACTTCTTGCAAATGTACAGTCACCAGAAACCGAGCCATGATACTTATTGCCCGTGGCGGCCGCCGCGCCGCCAGCTGCGACATGCCCACCACACCAACGTGTTAGGCAACTCGTGAAACAGAATCTTTTCGACCCCCCCCCCCAATGTCACTTGATTTCCATGCTACCTTATGCATGAACGGTTAATTACCAGCACGGCTCTCTGTTTTCTGTGCTAGAAAAACTTTGAACTTGAACATTGTCAAGATCGACCCCCCCCTGTTTGTCACATTGCACAAAACCCACATGGCCCTGATGACACACACGCAGCAAAGCGCCAGTACTAGTCACACAGTTGCTAGTGTTTTTTTCTTTCTTTCTTTCTATTTTTACTTTAGCCGAAGCAAAAGTGCTAGCAGCAGTCCAAAGTACATTTCACATGCTCCGTTGTTGAGCGTGCGCCCGCTGAGCTCGACGGTCCCAGCCTGCCAAACTAAACCGTACCTGCACTAGTGAAAAAGTGCTCATCAAACAACTTTTTTGTAAAAGAAGAAAAAAAAAGAGGAAATTTTCTTCACGAAGCAAAAGAACATGCTCAATGACCACATGGTGGGGTTTTCCTAAATTCCGATTCCGTTCTCCCCAAAGGACCCCGGCAGTCGGCGTGGGAACCTTCGGAATGAGATTCACGAATGAGGCGCGTGGTATTAGAGTTTCAACGGCGGGAAAGACTACTTGCTTATTTTACTCCTTGGACAGGTACGGGGGGTACAACATGTTTGTAGTGGTCATTGCTGCCGATAGCCGAGCTGGGACCGTGGCGAGAAGCTCCGTGATGAAGGGCTGTCGAGATGCAGGCGTCGACATCTCATACTGGCTTGTTGCTGTGTGTTATGTCGGATTGCGAGTCTGGACTATATGGCATTACATCTGAGTTATCAAACACACTTTCATATATGGAATACAGAGTGCTCGGGTCTAATTTCAGACCAAGTTGAAGGATTGGCAGAGAACTCGAGGCTAGTCACAGTCTCGAGGCTAGTTCACGATGATACGTAGCAGCGATATCCGGACCTACTTCACTCTCATCTCCCGAATCGGGCCTACTTCCTCATCAACAAGAACACGCTCGTCTCTAACTAGCCTTGTACGGATACCATCTTCCCAGCCAAGACCTTTCTCACCACACCTTGTGGCCATGGAACTTGCCGCTGCGCCCGCTCGCTGCCCCCCTCCTCGGTTCGTGACCATTCCGATACACGATGTTCCTGATTCAATCTAGTGCTTGCCATCATGAGTCCCATCTCCACACGTTCTACTGCATGTTCTACATTTCACAAAAAAAGCCACGCGCGTGTCTTGGCAACCAAGTCCGTCATTCTCGGCCGACCAACCGCCCGCCCGCCCGTCCAGCTTCGGCGTCTCCGAAGTTTGCGGCGCGGGCGGGCTTTTTTTGTGGTGCGAGAAGCGCCGCGCGCTGGGTATTACCTGAAAGAAGCATGGTGCGGGTTTGGTAATCTAGATTGGAATAAAGAACGTTGTAGCGACAGCCGAGAGAGCCATGTGTTAAGCCTGCCGGTGCGGTTGCGGTGCAAATTAGACTCGGCCTCGGAGCGCGCTGGGCCAACGTTTCGGTGCCAATTTTTTTTATGCTATCCTATTCGGAGATATCAAGATTTTTTTTTTTCATCTTGGCTCATGTCAAGGATCGATGCGTTTTTTTAAAGACTTGTTTTCTATAAGAAGCCTGCACTCCGCTTGTTCATAATTCTCAAATCAACAACAATCAGTTTCGTCTTCTTCCCAGTCTAAGAGATCAAGAAGCAACAAGTACACACTACACAGGATTACTCGACTACTTGACACAAACAAGAAACGTTAAACGATGAAAAACAACAACAATCACAAAACCACAACACTCAAGAAATATTACAACGGTGTTACGTCTACCAACGGAGAAGAAAAGTGTCTACACGCAACCATGTTGCACTTCAACCACAACAACCAACAACAAGCCACCACCACCACCACCAGCGGCGCCCTCACACCCATCCAATTCGACGACACCCCTCTCTCACCGCCTCCTCCTCCATACTCCTCCCTCTCCCCTCCTCCGCCCGCCTACACCCCTCTCCCTCCTTCGCCACCACCATACTCTTCCCTGCCATCACCTCCTGCTTACGACACGCTCTTCCCTCCTCCTCCGCCCTACAGCCCGCGGCCCTCCCGCTCCTCCTCCTCCTCCTCCTCCTCCTCCTTTCCGTGTCCGACTCTGCCACCGATCCGCACTCTCCTCTCCTGCATCTGCTGCGCTCTTCCTCCTCCGCCAGTCCACCACATCACAGCCACCACCGACGCCTCGCCCCGGCTTCCCGTTTTCCACGCCCGCTACTACAGCTCCGCCACCGCCCAGCACCGCAAAGACGCGAGCCGGGACCGTCACGCCCTCTTCGTCCTCACCAGCCCCAGCACATCAAGGGGTCTCTACCTTGGCGTCGCAGGCAGCCGCCGCCGGGGTCTGCGCTTTCACGAGACCCCCGGCGACGCACCGCAAAACTGTACAGCAGCAACAGCAGCATCCAGCTTACGCGTGAGCAAGTTCCTCGGGAGTGTCGCGGCGCAAGACGTGGACGCGCTCGGAGACGTCTGTCAGCGCGTATACAAGGACACGTTTCCCGTGGCGGTCAGCGCGGGGAGGAGGAAGCCGCAGCCGCGGAGAAGGCGGTCCTGCCGCTTTCTGCTTTACACGGTAGAAGCGCCGCCGCCACCATACAGCGAGAGACGTGCTGTTGTTGCGGAGCCACTGGCGTCGGCGTCGCATGAGTGGGCGGCGGCTGTCATTGCGCTGGCCCAGTCCGATGGACTTTTGCAGAGGGATTAGAGCTGTATCTTACTATTCTAACGACCAAACTTGCTTTCGAATTTTGCTTTTACTATATACTTGGGCACTGGGGTATATTCCTCTATTTCGATAGAACCATGACAATACAAATACATAGATAAAACATGTGCTAGTTTCTTTGATGCCAGCAAGCCAGGTGTGCCGTGCAAAATCATGTCGCTAGTAGCTGAGTCGGTGCTTGTAGATTGTACTGAGGCGGAAGACAAGGAAACGATGTCGTACTTTGAAGAAGTCATGTTGCATTGCTGTTGTAGGAATGCACATGGAATGGTGGCCTGAGAATGGGTTGGAAGATCAACAGCGTGTCCAGTAAAGTCGGAATTTGGTCCAGAAATAGAAGCTTGACAAAAGATGATGCAGGTTTCGAAGGCCGCATGCCCTCAAGAGTACAACGTCACGTCATTGTAGATGTGCTGCAATTCTTCAAGACAACTTGTCCGGGTGCAGCTGATCCAGGAATTCTTGTTTCGACGGCCATCGACATCCAGAGTCCAGGGTCCTTTTGTTGCTTGCGGGAGCTAGACGCATCATCAGTGCAGACAATCACATCCACAACACTCCAATCGCGTAGAGCAAGTTGCACAATTCCATATAAACATCTCGGGAATATATACAAGCCGGCGTGGCCTACCCTGCTGTCCGGATTCGGGCACACACGCACAGCATGGATGCCCCTTTCCCGTAGAGTGGTAGATGACTAGTCAGAGCGCTTGTTGAGTAGCTCTGGCTGGTCAAAAGCCCAGCCGGACAACGGGCACGCCTCGTTGACCCAAAAACAAAAAAGCAACATGTACCGAATCAAACGGCCTTTTCCAAAAACGCCGATTGTAAAAATGATAAAACAACATGACGTAATCCAATCATTAATTAACATGGGGTTCTTATCCAGATGACAGGGCAGAAAGTGTCCAGAGCCAGGCATGGCAATAAGATCCCAGGTTGGTGGCAAATCCAAAGAAACGAGAACCAAGAGAGGTATATCCGGCATTGGTAGCATTATCCATAACTGGAGCGGGCCAAAATAACAAAGAAATCGCAAGCATTGTCCGAGGGAATAGTCCAGAGCGGGTGTCCGTGGATGGAGTCCAAGGGAGATTATATGTACGCAGAGGGTATTCCGGTTTATATTCCATTGCGGGTCGTTGATGATGACATGAAAGAAAAGGGAGCAGAGGGCTTCGACTGAAGCGCGCAGGGGGGACAATGCAGTCACAGTATTGGAAGCTGTGTTAGCCATGGCGGGGGAGAAGCGGCGAGCCTTCTCTAGCGGCGAGGAGGCGGGGGTCGGTATTGTCTCTCGACAGAGTTCCTGTCGCTGTCTTGGTCACTACGACGCTTGTTTGAACCTGGCGGTTTAGGGCTGGCAGGAGGGGCAGAGCCACGAGGATGGGAATTTTCTTCATACTGTTGCGGTTGCTGCTGTATCTGTTGCTGTTGCTGTGGCTGCTGCTGTTGCTGTCCTTGGGCTCCATAACCGGGCTGCGGAGGAGGGCCTGCGGGCGAGGCTAGAGTAGGTCAGAAGACAAATTCAGGTGGCACGCAGCTACTCGCCGTTGGTACGCAACTGACCTCTGCCGTAAAAGGGATCTTGCGGCTGAATAGAGGAGGAATACTGCTGAGCGCTTCCCGGATGAGGTCCCTGGTTTGAATACTGAAACGGGCCGCCGGAGGATTGGGGGTAGCCTTGCTGGGGAGGTCCGGAGGAAGAGTACATGGCCTGCTGGGCTCCAGGTCCAGAGGAGCCCCCACGAGGCCCGGAGAATCCATCGTTGGGAGGGTAGCGCGGCGCCATGTTTGCACCAGTATTCACATAGGGAACTTCTTGGGCTTGAAATCCTGGGTTCATCAAGCCGGGTTGGTTGACAGGGCTGGCATATCTGGGATCGGGATTCACACCAGGGGGTCCTTGCTGGTAATTACCATAGCTGGGACCGGCGGGGGGCGGGGCATATGTTTGCTGCTGGGGAAAGTTGCCAGTGGCGCCGGTGTAGCCCGGGGCACCGGATCCTGGATATCTAGCAGTGTCAAAGGTATCACGGGAGTTGAAGTGGTCCTGCTGCTGCTGCTGCTGTTGCTGCTGCTGCTGGAAAGGGGGGTGCTCGGTAGGTCCATGGTGCTGACGCGATTGGTGCGTCTCGGAGTATCGATACTGCACTGCATGTGAGTTAGAAGACGGAGCCCCATGATAGTTCGGGCCATCTCGCGAGCCTTGGATACCTCCAGGGGTATTGCGCGATGTTTGAGCGCGGCGTTCGCTGTCCCAACGGGCAGAGTCTGCCTTGAGGTCTTCAATCATGGCCTAGTAGGGGTCAGGTTAGCAAGCGAGTCTGGCGACGATAAGATCGAATTCGAGCTCACGGTTGTCAAGTTCCGGTAGGCGGTAATGTAGTAGCCCTGGACGGTCTGCCCAGTCTGCGGGTTCTAAGCAATGTTAGCAAGACTGGTGATTTGGCGACGGGGGTGAATTCTGAAAACGCACCTCATAATGACCAGGCCGCACCAGGGCATCGTTGCCCAGGTAGCGGCAAATGTCGGCAGAAATGACTTCGCGATCGATGCCATCTCTGGGGACAAAATATTCGTTCATGCGAGTGCTAGAAGCAGCGGTCGCAGGGGCGGCATTGCGGGGTTGTCGTGACATGGCGAGGAGTAGATGTGTAAAGGAAGAGGTGACGGAAAGAAGCAGGTGCCTCGGAGGAAGGTGAAGGGCGTGGGAGCGTCTAATATGCAGCGAGATGGAAAGCAGTGACAGGGGGGGAGGCCGACGAGGGGGGCGAAAAGGTCGAAGCTGGCGGCGGGTCGAGGCGAGTGGCGAGGTGTATAGAGACCAGGGTGTGAGGAGAGGGGCACAGGGCACGAGTTGAGTGGTGATCGACTAATCAGCAAGGGCCTGCGAACATTTCGTGCGTGTCAGTGAAAAATCCCAAGAGCCAGAGAGGAAGTGGGCGAGGCGAGAGAGAGAGAGGCCAGGGGTTGGAGGAGGATTTGGATGGGGAGGGGGAGGAGAGGCGGGGGGTTTGCTGACCTGGCTGGCGGGCTTCAGGTGGCGGGCTTTTTTTCTTCTCTGCGTGGGGGGCAAGTTGTGGTGAACAAAAAAGCTGCGAGGGCTGAGCTGCAAGTCGTACCTAGATAGGTTGGGCGTGGGTTGGGTGCCAAAATCAAGTCGGATGATGGAATTTTCGTGGTCAGTGGTTGATGTGCCCCAGTAGGTGTGTGTGAGACGAAAGAGTCGGAACGGCAGTCGACAACGAGGGTGGTGCGGCACAAGATGGTTTGGGCAGCATTTATTGGCCTGGGATGAGGGATGATGGGCGAAAGAGGGGACGAGTCGAGATGTTTGACTGGTGGATTGGAAAACTGGCTGGCAGAAAGCTGGTGAGCAAGCGGGCAGCGATGGTGGTGGGGCAGGATGCAGAGCTGCGGTCAGTTTTGTCCTTTATTTTTTCCTTTTCTTTTTCTTCTTTGCTTGATTTTTTTTTTGCTTGTCTACCTTGGGTAATATTATGAATGAATAATCGTCAAGTATGTACGTACTCCGTAGCGGATACGGAGAAGTAATACCTGAATTTTCAATACATTGCCAGCCAGCAGCCAAGTCCCGCCCGGATACTCTCCTCCTTCGCCTAGCAAACGGGTAGCGGGCAACGGGCAACAAGCAACAAGCAACGGGCAACAGGCAGCGGGCAACAGGCAGCGGGCATCCATCTACACAACCAGAAAGGTTAAAGCGAAACTTGCCGATATCATCCCTACTCGGATTGCTACACTTTTCTACTAATCAATGGTCCTTTCATTCACCATCCCGTCGCCTGTCGGCCACCCGTCGTCGCCCAGGCATCCACCATCTTCACCATTGCAGCCCAATACACGCCCAGACGTCTTCTCCAAGGACCTTGCACCAGGCTTCCAAACCCATTAGACACGACCATTATCATGCAAATAAATCAGAACGAAGAAATTCTGGTTTCCAACGTCTATCCGCTTGTGGAACCGAATGAGACCCCGTGCTCCCAATATCCGGCTCTTTCACCCTTTCTGCGCCTTCCACACTCGCGCTTGCACGCTAGGCTGTGGACCATCTGTCGTGTGGTGGGCTGCTGAGATGGTGAGCTTCTGGGTCTCCCTGCACATGGTCGTGTCTACCATGCACCAGATTGCCAGACACGACGCATGCGCGCAGGTATGTGTGCTATCACCACTTCTGGCTGGTTACCTTGCTGCGGGACTCACCAATCGCCCCGAATTTTGTGCATCTGCCTCTCATCTTACCTGCAAGGCAACAAGGTCCTGGTGCGCGCACCAAACAAAGTCTGCCGTCATTATTTCCCCAACGCCATCGTCCATCGTCTATCGTTCTAAACAAACCTCTTTGCGCCAACAAATGCAAACTCTTGCAAGCGCTTGCGATGCACTTGCATTGTGCGTACACATCTCTTCCATCCCAGGAGCCCTGACCGGTCGCGCTACCCTGCGTGCCACCACCACCATCGTGCAGGGCCTCATGCGCCGTTTCAACCCCGTGCAGCCCAATCTTTGTGCAACCTGGGTAGGGCTTTGACACGCTCGAATGCGCAAAACTTGAATTTTCGCAGCATCATGCGCCCATTATGTCGTAGCGGCAGGTAGTCCGGTGATGCAGCTTCGCCCATGGCTCGTCACGGCCAATCACCACGTCAGAGACTTTGCCGGCTCCCAGCTTCAGTCAGCCCTCTAACTAAAAGTTAGCAGCTCTCGGCTCGCACTAGTTAGCTTACTAGTTGGACACGCACAAAAAAATGCATTGTGCGAGCGGGTGCCTGGCCTGGTTCCCGCTTGTGCCGCCTGTGGACCGCCTCCAAGTTGGGTATCAACGCCATCGGCCCAATTGCCACGTTGCCACCCAACCCAACGAGCGTCTTGGCTGTGAGCCCCGACCCACATGGCGACAAAGTTGGACATCAAGATCGATGCCGTTGATGGCAACAAATTACGTATAAATGTCGACGACGCATTGCAATAGCTCCTTGATGCTGCTTATTGAGTTTGTGCCAAAACAACGTGTCTCATCACCACAATATGTCGCATCAGCTAAATCACACCATTTCCACCACGACAAGACTGTCATATCTCCCCACGTTACGCCCAGCTGCGGGAGACTCGAATGGCTAGGATGCGAGCCCAATCAATATCGGCCGGACTCTTTTACCCTTTTTTATTTTTATTTTTATTTTTTGAATTTTCCAATGGACTGATCATCCTGGGGGAAGTTGAGACATGGTTGATTATCCAAACTTTAGCTTGCTTTGGCCCTGTTCGAGCTTGTTGCTTCCGCCTCCGCGGCCTCCCCGTCGCGGCGACGAGGACGACCCAGTGGAACCTTTGCTGTTTGTGCCACGCACCAAATTTCCATTCCGCGATCTCTCGGCGAATGCTGGCTTGACACGTTCTTCATTCTGTATATCCTTGGCCATATGCCAGTCCATGTGGCTTTGTAGTGCTTCCGGCATCTCCAACGAGGCGTGGCACCGTGCGCACCGCAACTCGCCTTGCTGGGGCTCGCTGTATTCAATACGTATGCCTGCTTCGGCTTCCACTTCCGCCTCTGCATCTGATTTGTGATGATGACCTTGGTTATTCTCCACGCCGTCACCATCTCGTCCCCGGACATGGGCCGCTGTAGCATCTGCCTCCTCCGCACTAGGCGTCTTCTCCCGCTGGCCCTTGCCAAAGAATCTCTGAATGCCCGCTTCTTCTGCACGCGCTCGTTTATGCGGCCGTTCCGCCGCCGGAGACGTGAGTGAGCTGCTGCTGCTGCTGCCCTGCTCGGTGTCCTTGATGAGGGACATGGCTGCATCACCCTTGACTAGGAATGCTCCGATGCCCATGTTGTTCTTTATGCCGTCTTCAAATCCACCGACAGTGAGGCTGAGGTTAGTGCACGGCCATATGCTGCCATCGCCTAGAATCTGCGACAGCAAGTCTCTGGCCAGGCCTATGAGCATTGTTTCGTCAATCGCCCTGCCCTGGGGTATGGATATTTGCCGGCTCCGTGTCTGCGTCGCGTGCCGAGCGCTCAAGTGTATCGTTTTCGGTCGACGCTTATTCTCCAGCACGCCTTCTTCCACAAGTCTGTTAAAAATGTCGCCCACAAAGATGCGCAGCCACCGGTCCGCCTGTTCTTGTGTATTAATGTGCGGTCTAAACGACTTGGCAGATAGCATAGACCTGAGCTGCGTTCTCGGGTTGACTTCGCTTGTATCAACTCCGCGTATCGTGTTGTAAAGCCAGACACCAGTCTCCTCCCCTAGCTTGGCCTTGAGCTGCTCCACGGATACGGGCAGCAGATCCTCGACTTTTTCGGTCCCAAAGATGCTCACCACTTGCTCGCCGAGCTTGCCACCCAGATTGCGTATCTTGGTAAGCTTAAACTCGTGCAGAAATATGCCTACCGCTCTGTTTCGCACCACGGTCTGGCGATTTGGCTTTTTGAAACCAGAGCCGAGCTTGCTCAGCAGCTTGTTGCACGCCACGCCCGCCGAGCAGGTATACCGCATCCGCTCGCGAATCTCGGACCTCAGCCCGCGGACGATTTCCGAGCCCACCAGAATCGCCACGTCGTCCCAGTCCGGATCTTGACCCTCGCGCTCCTCGTCCAAGTCGACGAGTGCGTCCGCCTGCCAGTCCAGCGCAGAAACGGACGGGAGTGGGAGCCGCTCCGTCGGGTCATTGTACGGCGGCGGCTGCTGGAGCTCCGGAAACCGGTCGAGAAGAATAGAGTGCACCTGCGCTGACAGGTCGAGAAAAACCTCGTCGACGCTGGCCTTTTCCACGCGCTGCAGGTTCTGCGGGAGATGCTCGCGGACGAGCGCCAGGATCCTGCGTGATTCGAGCCGGTACGGGTCGAGAGACACCTTGTCTGTGGCCATGTTGGCGGCGGCGTCGTCGCGGTACGCCCACTTATCGTCGCCCTCGCGCCATGTCGCGACGTGCTGCGCAATGAGATCCGGGCACGCCTTTTTGGCGTCCGAGACGGAGCCGAAACGGCCACCAATCCCGGCCTTGCGCGCAGGGTAGTTGACCGCGATCAATGACTGCCTATCGATTCATCAGCGGCCGAGTTTCCCAGTATAAACGGCGTCGCACCAGGCCAGAGGCTAGGCTGAAATGGAAAAGCTCACCATTGTTGAACAGCCAGCGGTTGGTCGTCGGGCAGGCCGAGTCGGACCATTTCGCATTGCGCGTAAAATGCGTCGAGATCGACGTGCGCAACCACACGCAACGGGCTCGTTACAACATAACTCGCCATTTGCGAGAGGTGGCGGTACGTGAATTGGGAGCGCGTGCGGTGCGTTCCGTCGTCATACTGCTCTGCCGACGACAGCGGCGCATACGGTTCGGGTGAAGAAGGCATGTCTGATTTGTCTTGCAATAGCTCGTCCAAGTCCAATACTGATGGTGACCCATATCAGTTGCACTGGCAACTCGTCAAAACGCGCTTAGCTGGTCGGGGTTGTTTGCGTGCCGTTGCGATTGCCGCAGCACATGATCTCCGCCTCATTCGACAAAGAGGCGCTCAAGATGCGGTCGATTCATCTATAAATCGTTCTTCTGTGCTATAGGCATCATGGTATCGATCAATAGGAGACTTGAGCAAATTTGTTGATAAAGGCAAAAAGTCCATGATGCGCGGGAGAAGTACAGCTTGTGAGAGCCCCACATCAGTTCACGGCCGTCATCAAAGGCCGGAGCAAAAGTGTGCGAATCAAGACCGACTTCAAGTTCAGTGAAATGTTTGTTGAGTCATTATTTCGTGCAAATTTGGCTCATGGCCTTGCTATCTCAAGCCAGTGAAATCGAGAGAAAATAAAACGGCGCCAAGTTATGCAGTGCCCATCGCTATTTCCGCCATGATTAAAAATCCAATTTGCTATGCTTTCAGGTTTTCCATTATCCCTATCGACTCTGTTTCGGTACTTGATATTCGTCTGTTCCTTGCCCATAAAAAATGTTGACAACCTCTTGCTGAACAGCTCACGTCCACACGAACAATCTTTTGGGAGCGCAAGGCCCGACTTCCACTCCTGTATTTCAGCTTTTCCCTTCGCGACCCGTACGTTGAGTGATCTCTGCAGTCGCTTCCTCAAAATCATTAAGATCTTGAACAGCAACGGCCAACCGATGCTGCAGCATGGTCATTTGCGATTGGAGTTGGTTAATGTTGGACTGCCAATACGCCATGTCATGGTGACGTCTCACAGGATCCGCCTCGTACGCTTGAATGTAGGATAGTTGGTGGTAATGGTGGCGGATGTTATCTTCCGTGAGCTGAACGCTTTGTGTTGCCTCTTCAACCTCCATCTGAAGGCGCTGGCGCAATTTGGAGCCGCGCCGCAATTCAGCCATCCGCTCAGGTGGGACTTTGCCCGACATTCTGGCTCGGCACAATCTTGCGCAGCAAGTCCTTGAAGATGAGTATATCCGATACCGCAACAGTTGGATGCTGTCAAGCAGTATGACGCCGAGGCCGCCAGTACGAAAGAGGCTCGAGTCAGCTTACACTGTCTGTCGGGTGCGCCTGGGCTGCGGGACGAGCCGCGCGTATTGATAACTGGCTGAAATTCTTTCGAATATCTGGATTGATGAAGAAGAATTTCCGCTTTGGCGGTATAGCAATGACAAGGTTGATGTATGGTCTTGACGTTGACCTCTGGCTACGGGGCAAAACTGGTTGGCGGGCAGGCACTCTCGGCTTTTGCCCGGTTTCAACACTCGGCTTTTGCCCGTTCTCAGAGATAGCTAAATTAAGAAACAAAATATTAAGCGCCGTCTCATCTGGCTAGATTGAACTTGACTTACAATGTCACAGGACCCTGACCTCGCACGAGAGCATTAGCACTGTGTAGTCGGACAAAGCGATATGAACAATTTTGGGAAAGCTTTAAAAGACGGGCTTCAAATGGCCCAAAGTAGAAGAAATCTGGCAGCCAGTAAAGATATAAAAAAAAAAAAAAACAACGCAGACCAAAAACAGTACACACGCGGGAAAAACCGCTAGGTGCGAAACGAGGAAAAGGGTAACTGGCTCAACGAATTTATATGAAAAAAGATTAGGCCGTTGGCTCACAAGAGAGGGGAAAGCGGGCGACAGCCGCGAATTTATTCATCATCTACGAAAACTGCCAGAGACAACTATGCATGCATGGACGTGGAGTTTAGACAAGGGAGCCGAGCAAAAGGGGAGGGGTAATAAAAAGCGCCCAGCCAAGACGTTGCACCTCTTCTCGCGTGGCTGAGCCTTCCGGCCGGCGCATCGGACTTCGCTGCAAATGCACTCACTGGTCGTGGTTGCTCTGTTTCTGATGAATTGTTCTGTCAACGGCCAAGAAGATCACAGACACACACATACACACACACACATACATACTGTGATTGTGACACACAGGCCGCATCCTTGCTCGCCGGGGGGGCAAGTTCGCCGCGGGCACATGCCGGCACACAAATACCCCAAGAAGGGCTGTCCACGACTGTCATTTTCAACGGTTTTGTACTCGGCAGTAGCTTTTGTGGTGGATTCGCTACACATGGCATCCTGGCCTGGACGGCGACGCCGATGGCGTTGAAATGACCAAAACCTTGCCCAGTATTTTATGCCCATTCTCGGCTTGAAATGTTGAAGGGGCTGCTGCTTTTGCTGCCTGCAAAAGCCGGTGCAGACGCGACGCTGTCGATTTTCTGCTCCTCTATTCGTAGCTAATGCAGTCTCTTCCCTCCTTGCATCTCCGCTGTACCAGCGCCATCCCCCCCCCTTCCAAGACCTGCAGCATCCGTTGACCGTTGTTGCGCTTCTCCGGACGAAGAACTCTATTTAACATGGGGTATCTCGTACGGAGTAGAACGTCACGTTCAAATCATTTGGGGAGTGGAACGCCTCCTTGTACATCCGCCAGGGTTGAAGAGCATGTACTCGTTACCAAAATTTGACCACGCATGGATTCTGAAGCACTTCAGCTGATGCGTTCTTTTTTTCTCATCGTTCACATTAAAAAAAAATGGCCGCACAGCATTGGCAAATAATATGACGCAATACGGCCTCGAGCGCCCCCCGAGCGATAAGGTTGACAGCCAATATGTGTGTGAGCTTTCGAGAAAATCTGATAAGCGACGTGTTCCTAGCACAATGAGGGGAGGTTTGCCTTGTCGAGTCAACAAGTGTGGGATGGATGGTGCTTCAGTTTCAGACTGCCACTTTGAACCATGGTGCTATAGAAACGCCTCATGCCCCCTCCTTCGCGACCAAGTAGGAAGAGGGCTGAAGATTTGAGAGTCACAGGCTCCGAATCTCTTTGCCAGCACACACCCAACGTCACAGAGAGTCTTGCAGCTGACACGACAAATAAAAGGTGGCCTGAGAGATTTGCGGAATATCTCCGAGTGTCGCAGTTGAGCTGAGCAAGCCCAAGTTTTCCACGATGGTGCTCTCAGGCGAGGGTGCGCCATCATAGCTTACCCTGCACCTTTTTGCTGCGCGTTGACTGTCGCACCCACGACAACTTTAGGCGCACAAAAGTATTGCTCTCGTGTATTTTGTGCTCTGATTTTCTCAAGGCTATCTCTGTGACATGAACAGTTATTGTGCTTTGCCGCGCCAGCTTTCGACCAGCAGCCCAGCAGCTTCCAAGCATACTGGTCCGGGTAGTCACGGCATTCGGAAGAAAGGCGCCACGTATGACAAGAGAGCCTGAGCGCGACCAATGTGATACTGACAGCAATCGATTCACGTTTACTTCATATGTCAGACAGCAGCACACATGGCCACCACCACCACCAAAGTGTATACACGTAGTTCATGCAGCAGCCACATGCAAATACACACACACGAAATCAGAGCGTGGTTCCTCACCGAATTCGTCATTTGTTTTCTGCCGCGCAAAGAAAGCGCCAGACTATCGACTATAAAAGAGACAAGATAACTATGTCAAGGTTGAAGAGAAATCTCTGGAGATAAAAAAGGCAGCAGACGGGCGGACCACTCATGGTGACGGCGGGACAGAACCACGGCGACGCGAATGATTCAGGACCAACTGAAAAGAGACACGCTTCCAGAAACTCATTTCTCGTATTTTTCTCACAGTTCCAGAGCTTTATTAGTCCGAAGCGTAGTGGCTGCCAAGTTCGGAGAGATGGCTGTGCTCGTTTGACAAAAGAGATAGGTCATTATTAGCCGTGCCAAAGTACGCGTAGCGTTCAACGCAGGGGTTGCCCTCGAGAAACGCCATGGCTTTCTGAAGAAAAACAATTTCATCTTGGCTTGATCCTTCTTGTCCCTTGAACTATGTCAAAGGCAGTGTCAGTGAGCTGACAAATTGTTTTTTTCTTCATCAATAATCCCCTTTGGGGGGGGGCTTCACTGTACCTCTGTAACCCACACAGGCCGTCCGAGGGTGCAAATTTGGTTGACCCAGTTCTCAAAGTCGTGCTCGAGAGAGTTTGGATTGTACCAGTGGACGGGGATATAGTCAACATGGCAGCCCTGGCATTCGTTGAGAAACTTTGTGATCCAGTCCCAGCCGTCGTTGGAGACGGCAGGAGCACCAAGCCTCGCACGACCGGCGTATGGCTCCATGTACCGCCACCAGGCATCGACGGCTTCGCCAACGGTCATGGCGGCCTGGGGCAACGGTCGCTCAGGCTCATTGAATGCAAGTAGATGGGCGGTTCCCTGGGTCAGCCACTTGTTGACGCGGTCGTTCCAGACAATCTCGTGGCCGTGGCGGAGACTGTGAAGCATGGGGACATACTCGGCAAAGCTAATCTTGTTGTCGCCAATGTCGCTGTCCCAGTTGTACTGCCAGCGCACCTTGCTCTGGCCTCCATGAGGTGTGTTTTCGAACCCGGAAAGATCAAGGCCGTCGTTGCTAGCCAGGCCGCGCTTTCCAGGAGGATGATTAGTGGCAGTTGCCGCGCCAATGACGGGACAAAGTGCCAAAAGGTTGAACCAAATCATCTCGGAAACAGGAGTGTCCGTCGTTGATGAGTTTGTAGAAGAAAAAGTCAAGTACTCTGAAAGTTCTGGTAAACAAACTCCTCCCACGCAGCGAGTTGCAGTTCCCCTTTATGTACACGGTCTCCAGATGTCAGAGTATACAATGTTGTCTCGGCCATTATTCGAGACGAAGCCTTGCAAAAATGAGCACGACTTCTTTTTTTTTTGCCCTGCCTAGAAGACAATTATTCTTTCCTTGACGTTGCTTATAGAAAGTGCTTCAGTCAAGTAGAGTTAGAGCTGGTATCAGTACGCCCCGAGTCGACCTCGGTTGTGCCGTGTGGATAGCTTATCGGTCGGCCGCTTTAGTTACTGCAACGATTCTCTTCGATTGAACAAGATTAAGCAGCCAGTTTGTTGGTCGAATACTTACTTGTGAGGTACCCAGCATCAAAATGCGTGATGAAAGAGCCGTGCAGGAAGGGGAAAACAAATACGTAACTAGCTCCAAGATCAATCTGCGCCAATTTTGATATTTCTTGGAAAATTCCTCGACTACACCTGGGTGAAATAAAGTTTGGTGGGCAAAAAAAGACGTTGAAGACGCGTCGTGAATGTCACGAGGGCTAGACAACTACTTGCGCCCACAAGTAGACGGCTTTCAGCAGAAGTCAGAATTATAATGCACATGTAGATGAACCTGAAAATGAAATATGAGTATATTATGGAATATGAAAAGTTGAAGCCGCTGCGAAATCTTTTTGGAAAGATGACACTTATTCTCTTGGTTAAACCATTGAATCAAGGACAGGGTACAGAAATGTGCGGCAGCGGTGATGCGATTATGATTCGCTTAGCTAGGGTTTCTTCATGCACAGGATAAAAATTGTCCAGAGTCTCCTAATCCTCATAATCATATGGTTTGTTCAATAATTTGGTGCGACCTAGTACAAGAGGCTGGGCGCTTGTGGCCGGCGCTTCAAGCCATGGCCCCCAAATGAAAAGACAAGCTTTGTCGGAGATTTAAAGGCGCAAGTGGACATTATTACTCGCGCTGTTGATCAAACCACTTCAAGCAGAATAGTGACTAGATTTGCTTCACTGAAAATATAAGCGAAAATAAAAGCTATCGTGATTCGCTCAAGGTTCGGCGGGATTGTCAGCGCTCACATGTAAGATCCTGTCTTACCACGACAAGGCTCGCGCCACCACACAGCCTTGTCTGCGTGGGGTGGCGCTGAGCTAGTCAAATCCCCAACTTTCAGGCATTGCGATATTCAACATCATTCTACGTGTTGATGATAAAGTACATGCTGATCAGATGGATGGACATGTCGCTGGACATGGGCACAGGGAGAAATGGTACATCTTCTTGTCAACTTGAGACTTGAGTGTAAATAGATGTCCTATTTATATTTGAGACTTGTACTCGTGTCCCATTCGAGGCCACACGTCACACACGTCAGTGCTGTGCTCGCTTTTGTGCAGCCACCTTGGCTGGACGTGACACAGTTTTTGACCCATGCGTTCCTTTCCTATAATGACATGTTGATAACTTTTTACCTCCAAAGTCTTTAGAAAAGATCCATTGAAAGAGATGACTCTCCGTTTCTGCTGATGTTTGAATCCTAAAGACTGAACCAAAGTGGCGGCTGAGACAAGAGCCGATTGCCGCAAGGCCGCCCATTTCAGTTTATACAGGGCCTCTGGCGTGATTATTATGCATATCAAACATCACCTCCACCCCAGACGACACCCTAGATTATCCACTCGTTTCACATCCTGACACGACCTGAAGAATTTTCGCCTCGAATCTAAGAGGAAATAGGTCAACCGGCCTCCACAAATGGATCCCTCGTGGCTCAGTTGGCTAGAGCGTTGTAAGTAGCCGGATCCAAAAAGAGGTTCCACAACCCAAGTACTAACAATCATGGTCAGGGACTGTTAATCCAAAGGTCGGAAGTTCAAGCCTTCCCGGGGGAGTAAGATGTGTTTCTTTTTGTAATTTTTGCCTCTATAGATAGAACATCTCTTTGGTAGGGGTGCAGAAAGACGCCGTCCTGGGCAAGTCCTGAGGCATCATATCATGTGCCATTCTCTCACCTCGAAATCGTCTCTCTAAACCAGGTGGCGTATGGTGGGTCAAATTCGATCTTGCCTTTATTCAAAGGCACCGAATAACCCTCTTTACTTTTTGAGAGATATTTCTGCTGTGGTGCCAGTCATGGGTCCGGTTCCATGTTCAAATCCTAAGCGCCGGACAATTTTTTTGATCGAGGCGGGCCGCCTCGTCCTCAGAATGGTCAACGACCTGAATCGGCATATGGGCGCGTGCTACATCCAAGGTGAGACCATCAAAGACAAGCCCATACGAGCGGTACCGAAGCGGTAAGAATAGGGTTCCAGCCTTGCGAGGACCTCGCCCGTTGTGCCCCAACGGGCGAGGTCCGCCCGAGGCTGAAGCCTCGTACTTCAGCTAGGCTGAACCCGACGCCGGACATAAGAGGCTCCTGCTACACACGGATGCTGGAGCTTACAAACTTTGACAAATGTCAGGGTTCTCGAATGAGCCGGAACCATGTTTACGCCGAGTCCATAGCTTCGAGAAGGAACCGGCACTTTTCTTCCAGAAGAGCTTGGCGACAAGGCATACATGAATTTTCTTTCCTCTTTCGTCAGAGACCTCGTGGTGGGCAGTTCAGGCACCAGGATATAAGCTGGCGCTGGCATTCAGCATGCTAGTAGCATCGACCGAGATGTGTGCCACCATTCTGAATCAAGTAGTGGCTTCGCCATCTCACTTTATGCTTTTTGATCACATTTTGGGGGGCTTTGATGAAGATGGCAGGGCGCACATAGGCACTTGTACGCAAGGAGGGAGATGAAAGCTGGCGCTTGCGTGTATACACAAAAGTGTATACAGTTGGTAAAGTTTTATATGCATTTAGAAGCTTATCAATTGCGGTTGAGAGAAGCTCAAACTTGCAGAGTTACACACAGTCGCTAAGCCAAAATTGACCAAAGCACCTGGCATTCCCAGCGAAGCTATACCACCAGCAATCGACGGGTGAAGCAAAAGCCATCAGCATAATCTAGGAGGTTTATTAGAGAGAGAGAGAGAGAGAGAAAAGATGAAAATATCAAGGCCATGCATCACTAGTCTCGAAGAGACCGCTTTCTCCTGAGTTTATGCTCGATTTCGAGAGGAGTGGGATAATGCTTACCTTTTTGAGGTGAACCGAAATGGCCCCGACTATTGTTGCTTTCGTGGCTGCATATCTACTTTTTGGTAAACACGGGCTAATTGAAAAAAAAAAAAAAGAAAAAGAAAAAAAGAAACGGTGGATTTTCTGCATACCAGAAAAATAAAATAAAAAAAAACTTGTTCACTTGCGAAGCTTGCCCCAGGAAACAATGACGTCGCCAGCATCGGCGTAGATTGGTTCATGACGGACGGGAGCCGCATCGACAACAGTGATGGCTGCGACAAGGACCACGTAAATGTAGACGAGAGTGTTCATATTGGCAGATTAAAAAAGTGATGACTGAGAGTGTTTGGCAGTTTGGAGGAATAAATTTGTGTGTTTTGACTGGAATGATGGAATATAGACGGTGACTTGTTCTACTTTTTATAACAGCTTCCCCCCTCCCTTCCAACGCCGCAAGGCTTCCCGATTTGTGATTTTACTTTCGTGATGCAGTCACATCCGCCCAAGGCTTGCTCGAGCCATGTAGCTGAATAGGGTAGTGTCTGTGTGAGTAATGGATGTTGCGGCCAAGTCTCAGACCTTTTGTGCGACACGGAACCGTTCATGATCACGTCCGGACCAACTGTCTAAGCCAAACCAACCACCAATAACTAAATAGTCACATACGCGCATCTTGCGACTTGCGAGGGTTTTCTTTCACAGAGAGTAGAGCAACTGATTCTATATCTAGCAGTGTGTTTAATGCTTTCCTTTTGTCAATATGAAAGCGATTACAGCGGGTAGCGCTTGATCGGCTGATGTGACATTTCGGGCAAAGTAAAGTTTACTGCGCTTACTCGGAGCCCCAACAAGCCCACGGCAAAGCAGGCGGACCATTTACTCCCCCCCCCCGTAGGATGATTTCCCAGGCAGCAAAGTTGTGAGATGCGGCATGCGCGTGCGCATAGAGTAAGAACTAAGAAAAAAGTGTTTCGGAGAATTCTTGTATGAATGATGGGCCCGACCGGACGTCGCCGGCGGGAGACAAGGCGCATTCCTTGTCCGAATAAGCAAGGTTTTTAGCGTAGCCTTGTGCCCAAGGTGGTGGTGGTGGTAGTGGTGGTCACGAGCTGAGCAAAGTACAGGATAGAGACTAAAAATATCTAGGACTCGTGGGATTTTAAAGTAAAAAGGGAGAATTTTAGCTCTTGACTATTCTTTCATTGAAGTCGTTGAAGAAAAAAAAAAGGAGACATTGTTGAATACAAAAATGCAAAAGACTTGCAGACTGCCGACAGAGTTCAAGGACGCGGATGAATCGCCGCTCTTGCCTGATTCGGAAGTAGCCAGTTTCAAAAGAAGAGCCATCATGAGTGTTGGGAGCAAAGCATTGAGTTTGTCAATCTTGTTGAATCTATCATTTGCCCTATACTTGAGCTTTTTCTGTTTCCCACTCTCTCAATCCCAATCGCGTGGTCGGTTCATGGACCTTGGATTATACTGTACGTTGACTTATATGCAAAGGGACTCTGATGATTATGAAAGAAATTGTGTGTACGAGCATACTAAAAAAAAAATTTGTACCCAGCGCCGGCTTCGGAACATGTTGAACATGTACCCTACGTGTTCAAAATGGCTTTTCTCGACGATATAAGCCCCTACCAAGGGTGGCCGGATGACGAAAAGGATCGACTGTGGCAAGACATGTACAGCAGTGAGCACGAAAATGAGAAAGAAAAAGCTCTTCTACTCTGACGGTAGCATACTAATTAGCTGTAGAGGGAATGGCTGTTCGGATTGATGAGGACTCTGCCAGCAGACTCATCAACAAGACGGAGCACGCTCCGGTAGCTGGCATGGAGGATGATTACGTTGTTGGACTCGACGTATTTCACCAATTGCACTGCCTAGTCAGTTCGTCCCTCCCAAATTTGATAGTTAGGCGGCTAACAAGGTACTAGAATATGATTCGGCAGTCCATTTACCCCAAGCGCTACAATTCATCCATTATCCGGCAAGACGGAACGATTGACTTTTTGGCTTGGTCACATCTAGGTACATTATCCAGAACAAGACCGCTCGCGCCCCCCAAGACCCTTGCAATCCAAAAACAAGGCTCTTGCTTTTTTTTTTTTTTTTCTCTCGCTGACTATTTTGGGCTTGTAGATCACTGCATAGAAGCGATACGCGAGTCGCTTACCTGCTCCGCCGACGTCAGCGCCGTCCCGTACCGGTGGCATCCAGAGACCAAAATCGCCGAGCCGGACATTCGGAGCGTGCACGTGTGCCGCAACTTTACAAAGATTCGCGACTGGGCGTTTGAGCGGTTCGTGCCCATGACGAGCAAGAGGATGCACGTCGAGGACGGCATCGTCGTGGATTATTCCGGCGCCGGGCGAGACCCGGAGCTGGTCCTGGCACAGAAATTGGCTAATCCGGGCGCGCACTGGAACAAGACGGTGCATGATTTGTAGCTGGGATATATGCACAGATGATTTTTTTTCTTTTTTTTTTTTTTGAAAAAGAAAAAAAAAATCTTTCAATCGTGTCTTGGCCGTTCATTCTAACAATCATAACCATGACATGACTGCCCGTGTTAGTGCCCCTGCTGCTCTTGTTAGTGCCTCTGCTGCTCTAATAACTATAGATTTGCAAATAGATGCCGAAGCTCCCCAAACGTGGCCACTCTTGGTGCTAGCCACTTTGGGGATGACATTGTTTGCCTTTTGATGGCGCATAAGCTTGACTTTTTGTATGCCGACCGGTGTGCAGGCATCTTGCCGCATAGGCCACCCGGTGACTATAGTTTGCGTGTTTGTTTTCGTGGGAAATCTAGAAATCTAGAAGCCTAGCCTTTCAAAGATTTGCGTTTCCCGATTTAGCTAATTTTGCACACCGTCTGAGTAAAGACTCTTTTTAAAAATTCAAGCCACGGTGGGGGAATCTCATCAGGTTGATATCGAATGTTTTAACCCGCAGCAGTGAGAATGACCAAAGACGCTTCCGGGGCCTGTTACACTCTGAGAGACTATCGAGTAATGCTTTCTCATGTCTTTGTTGTTGAATCAAAATCCCCGAGACATAAGAGGCACTATAACTTGGGCCTCTTGAGCAAGGGGCATTCTGTGCCAACAGGCTACGGGTCTTGCCGTCGGCGCAAGGGGCTGCAACCGGCAACCTGCATTCAGCCTCGTATGAGAGACTTTTCGGTACCATACTCGCAGGCGCATCGGGCACGAAAAAGAGATGCAAACGCAGATTCAAGGTGGGCGTAGCTGAGAGACTAAACGTCTTTGATCACTTCTCGACATTGACAATGAATCGGCGAGAGACGGCACACGATGGTTGGTATAGCCCGAACAATCAACGGAATGTTCATCCTGGGAAAAAAGAAAAGAATCACGTAAAAGATTTTTAATAAAGATACAAAGACAAATATGTCTACAAAGACAAAAATGTCTTTCAGCAAAGACCATCTGGTAATCCAACATGTATCGGGGCTGTCACGTAGTACCCCAGAGTCGGCTGCAGCCTTTTGCAGTTCGTGTACCCTTAACTAGCACCCGCAGACGACCAGTATGCATAGCATATAGCATTTGCTCCGACGATCAGGAGCGAAAAAATCGTCTGAGCCTGGTCATCTGTCGTGCAGAAAGCAACCAAGTTCGTCGGGTTGTTGTTCAACCGCCCCCGCGGGAGGCTGCCTTTCTTTGATTAGAAAGCAGGCGTGTCGGTGCATCTTCTTGACAGTTATCGGAGAGGCCGAACGACTATCAAGACGAAAAGAGCCCGTTTTTAGCCCCCCCCGCCCGTTCTGAAACAAGACCACCTTTGGGAAGACAGAAGATGATGGATGTTGGAGAAACTGAAGCAGGAATGATACAGTGATGAACCGTCGTCTGTCTGTCTGTTGCTCGCACTCTGACTGGTGGGAAAAAAGGGCGACCTAGGGTCAAGATTCTGACCCGAGAGCAGTCTTGCGGCACGTTGGATAGATGTGGCAGGCCAGGGGATAATGATAAGCATAATGTAGTCCCCTAGCCGCACAAGCCTCCTTTCGCTTATTGACTCTTTCTGGAACGACGATTCTTCCTCTCTTTTCGTTTTTTTCCCTTCTTTTCTTTTTTCTTGGGCTGATGAGCTCCCCCGCAGACGGGTAGCCGCATGCCCTGGCTCGCAGCCACCACATCTTGGGAGAAGGGGGAGGGGCAGCAACGGATAAAAGGAGAGGAAACTTTATGCTTCTTATATGCAGAGAGAGCTCACCGAGATGGATTGATTGCTAGTTTGTTCGCGGCGTTTCAGTGCATTGCCGTCGTGCTGCCGTCGATCGTCGCTGCAGGTTGTAGTGGCTTGCAGTGAGTCTCGCCGCGCAATAACAGTATAACATGAATTTTTTCTTTTAAAAAAAGGAAATTTAATTAAAAAAGGTTTTCTCTGTTTGCCGGACCGAGTCTTTGAAGATGAGTGGAAGGAATTCTGCGGGTTTGATATGCTTTGTGCGACGTTACTCAATGGGTAACTAGGTAGGCGTGTCGATCGTTGGTCATGCTTCCCTTGTCCACTATATCTATCTGATTGGCTACGAGAACGTAAAAGGGCGTTCTCAGCTCATCTTAATGGAATTGATCCTCACACGGCAAGGACGGATAAAGGACCAATCCCGCCTACGATGCTCCATTCTCAGCATCAAAGGGCTGATGGGCCACCCTTGTCCATCGCAAGTCTTTTGGCAAGGTAATAACTAAAGGCCAGAGTGGCCATGGCTCTGGGGCTTCGGGAAACCGCAGCAGCAGTAGTGGGGGGTTTGAACGAGATTGAACGAGAACGGCAGACTGTGCCTGCAGTATTCCTCATGTAAACGGGGGAAACGAGGCCGACTGACTGTATTAGCCACAGGCCCATCATCAACTCTGAGCCGAATCAATAAAAGGCTCGGATATCCCCCCTCGAAAGACTCGTTGTAATCTTTGTTTGATAGAATCTCCAAGGAAACCATCTTCTATTTCTTCATTCTGCTTCTGTATGTTATCCGTCCCAGCTCAGCGCGCAGTTTCTTTAAAACCCCCCTCGCCCAAAGACACTTACAGCTTGAACCCCTTCCCTATTGCTTTCCTTCTTGGCACTTTGAATCATTCTCATACTCACCACTATGGATTTTCGTCTTGAGCAACTCAATTCTGGACCCGATGGTGCTCACATTCTCGCCTCTTGGATCGGCATGCTCTTCTCCCTGTCCATCGACGTCGACTCCATACCCGCCCACTCCGCCCACGACACGCCCTCGCAGCGAATGTGCCGTCTTGTACAGTGCCTACGAGCTCCCGATATTACCGACGACGAATACGATGCGGTATCGCAGGATCTCTTCCAGCGCATCATCCGCGCGGGCGACCAGCTGCTCCGCGAAATCGTCATTCACTACCGCACCCGTCCCGTGTCGCCGCGCCTCGACGACCATCTCTTTCTCCCGATTCCCCTCTTATGCATGGTCGACTCTGACGACTACGACTCTGACGACTCTGACGACTCTGACAGTATTCATAGCGACGGCAGAGGTGGGAGCGCGGGCCGACTGGGTTTTGCGAGCCGTCTCAGCAAGTACTTTCCCCAAGAGGTCAAGCACGCACATCCAGGCGCCGACATTCTGCCCTTTGACATTGACCCGGACCTGCCCGACTACCACGTCGACCAAGTCCACGTCCTGGAGACGCTGGTGCACGATCCGCTCGTGGACCACGTTGCCTGCCGGGTGCTCGTCGACGGCGAGCAGCTCTTTTGCAAGGCCGAGCGCGGCGGCGTCGCCTTTGGCGACTCGGTCGTGGGCCGCGACTTTCGCACCATGCTCGAGCTGCGCGCCGCTCTCGGCAACCACCTCAGGCAGCAGCAGCAGCAGCAGCAGCCAGATCAACACGGCGAGGAAGCGGAAACGGCGGAGACGGCGGAGACGGCGGCGGAGAAGCAGCAGCAGCGGCTGCGCGTGCCAAGCCTGCGCGGCGTCCTCCGTCACCCGACAGAAGGTCACGTCATCGGCTTCCTCCGCGACTGGGTGCCCGGCGCGAGCCTCAACTCGTACGAAATGGCCGAACTGCCCGCGGAGCTGCGCGGCGAGTGGGACGCCAAGGTGGCCCGGACGCTGGCGGAGCTGCACCGGCTCGGCGTCTACTGGGGCGCGGCGGAGAATGAGAGCGTCATCATCGATCCGCACGGCGAGCCCTGGCTGGTGGACTTTGGCGCCAAGGTCAACCTGGGCCTGAAGCGCGAGGAAGGGGACCGTGAAGAGGGCGACTGGCTCGACTACGACTCCATCTATCATTATCTGGAAGTGAGAGACGAGGCAGCCGTGTCTGACGGTGGTTCGGATAAAGGTGATTTTGAGATTGACGTGGTGCTGGGAGAGAAACTACGACTTTGGAATTTACACACATGGAAATGATTGCTTTTTTGCAAGGTAGCCGTTTTGGTGTTTTTATTTGGTTCATCATGTAATTGGAAAATAGAATTGCTAGCCAGAATCAACTGTTGACCCAAAAACTCTATGCATGTTATTACAACGCTTATAATAAAAAAAAGTGCGCTATGGTACGCTTCTCCCTAAAATGTAGTCTAAACATTCGTTTCTATCATTTATACAGCAGCATGCTCCTTTGGCTGCGAAGAGTTCGCATCGGTAGGTTCATATCCAGGAAAATGATGACGTCTCTTGAGCTCATCCAGGAGCTTTCCAGCGGGATAGTCGCTCTCCATGCTGTCATGATCACAGCACGGCGAGTGTTTGATGGGGAGCAGCCACTCCCACGGCGAGTGGCCCATGACTGCGGTCCAATTGCGGGCAAAGCCCAAGTCCCAGGGGTTCTCGCGCGATTCTACCCGCAAAACCGCAAATTTGCGCTGCGCCCGCACGTCTCGACTGGCAACGGCGCCCGTCTGCATCGCAGGCACTGACTCGGAAGCATTAGGGGGGCTGGCGGTGGTGGCTGGCTCGTCAGCGCCCGCTGTAGGTGGTGGTGGTGGTGGTGGCGGAGCGACGAGGCTGGGCTGCTCTAGCGGGTAGACAATGGTTGGATAGTAGTTCGACGGGGGCGATTCGAGAGGGAGGTTGACGGCAAGGTACGAGATGCGCGTGCGTGAAAACATGTCAATGTTGGTCATGTTGGTGAGGATATAACGCAGCGAGGTCAGGGCCATGCCGCCGCTGAAGAGCAGGAAAAAGGCCGACAGGACCAAACCCGCGACGACCCAGCCGTCTGGGTTTGGTCGCTCACTAGACTGCTGGCTTAGGGTGTAAGCTGTGATTGCGAGGGTAACGATGCAGTATAGGGCGCAGTAGAATGTAAATTGCGCGAAAAAGTTGAATGCTGGGCACCGCGTCAGTGAATCCTTGCTATTTTGCCTTGCCATCTGGCTCCGACTCACAGGTTTCCGACACCATTCCTCCGACCCAAGGACAAAGATGGTCCATCTTGCGAACGCAGCGCCCAAGTTCGCTCGAATGATGCGCGCGGTCGGGCTTCCACTGGCGACAGCCAGAGCACCATTTTGGACGGCCGTCGGCCTCGCAGACAAACACGTCTTTGCTGTAAAAGTTTTCCAGTCCGGGACTGTCCGGATTCATGTCGACCGGTGTCCACGACTGAGCTTCAACATCTGGGTCATCTCCGCGCCGCCGTCTGCGTCGTCGTCTCGGGGGCGGCGGAGGCTGCTTCTCGTTGGCATCGTCTGCTTGGCCATTGACGAGCGGCACCAAGCCCGGATCGCGGACAACAGCGACAAAGGTTCGCAGATACGCCGCAATCATGATGAAGAATATGATAAAGTACAAGACAATCATCCCAGACGCGAAACCAGCCCGACCTTTGTCGTAAATGTAATACTGTACTGCAGCGTCATGGTAAGCTAGATAGACAAAAGACGGCCCGGCCAGCGATGCTACGCACCACATATGTGCCCGACGGCGATGTATGTCGCCACGACAAAAGCACATAGAATGAATATCGGAATCAAACGAATGGCTATGCGAGTCGACGCTCGATTGCTGGACGAGCGAGCCATGACGGCATTGGCACGCCCCGTCTGGCGTCCGGACGAAAGTGGTTTTGGAGCGAGGCGGTCGTCGGTGTTGGGACTGGTGGCAGGCAGAAGCTAATAATTCAATGTCAAAAATGAGAGGACGGTCGGTAAGCGATTCGCGCGCGATGCGCTGTCGTTCCAATATAGCGCTGATGATGCAAAGACAAAGGAGGTCCTTGAGCGCAGCGGCTGTGCAACGGCCAGCCAACGTCAGCGACCCATTGCGCCCGCCCATGATGCCGCTTAATTAGTGGGCCGTATCGAGTAGTCCGACCAGTGGCATAAATTGTATAAAACTTGCACAAAACTTGCATGTTGAAATTACATGCCAATACATTTGATAATTCAGCTTGGCTAGGCATTGGTCTATTGTTTTGCGGTGTCATTGTGCGCTGTTGGCTGTTGCGGCTCTAATTAGCTGTAGCGTCGCCGACACGGTGTAAGTCATATCATAAAGTGTGTTCGTCGCAGGAGAACTCATCTTCTTTTATATTTCAATCAATTCAAAATACTCACAGATTCATCGAGAATATTAGATACCGTGCATGCTCTTGATCTCGTTCATGATAGCTTCAGCAACTCTCGCTGCGAGTCCAATTCTCTCTCTACATGTGATAAGAGAGCCAAGGTTGGCACCCGAGCAACACACCGTACAGGTAGGTAATGCGATCTCTTCTAAACTGCTTCCATTGGTACACGAAAAAAATTCATCCCTACAAAACCCGTGTTCATGCTCTTGGCCACCTGCGACTACAAATCCCAAAGCTACATTTACATTTTAAATAGAACGCCCGACAACAGCACACTACATACGTCAAAGATCAACAATGCGAGCAGAAGCCTGGAAAACTGCTAGCGCGACTATCTCGGCATGTAAGCCGAGCGACGCTCTTGCACGATCATCTCTATAGAGCTGCAGCGCAACGCGCATAGAAAGCCAAAAACAAATAGAAGGT